TGAGCAAAAATTATCTCGCACGGTCCATAACCGAGACCGGCCACAAACTGTTTCCAAGTGCGTGTTTACTCGTGAAGTTTGTCCGGGACACATTTGTTAAAATTTTAGCACCTCCCTCGTTTGAAAAAGAAACTACAAAAGCCCATTGGAAAAGCGGGGTGTTAAGCTGAAGAATGTATGTGATGGTGATTTATGGCCCCACAGAGGTTTTTGTTTACTTGAAGTAGACCTTAATTACAACGGCTTTTAATAAATAAATAAATACATAAGTAATCCCAAGATCTGTGTATGTCCATAGTAGGGTTTCCCTTCCCAGGTCTGGTTGTAGGGGCCAGATGTGACCACAAAACGTCTGGTTAGTTGAGCTGCTCGTCCTTTTAGCTGTCCAGTGCATTTGACCGAAATGGGTAAGAGACTCAAACATTTGTCATAGAAGTGGTGGCTACTCGGGGAGTCCGACCTACTCGGGGAGCTCGAAAATATCAAGCTTTTAAAAAGAGGCAAAGTTAGTTTTTGTCAGGGGAGAGATGTGTCCTCGAAAACGGTTCATTTCGCTCAAATGCAATTTCTGTGATTGAAAGGGAAACGCTCGGGAGGGCGAATTTTCGCGTGGGAATATTGAGTGCAGTGGTCTGCGGATTTGTGCTCTTCGTTTCTGGCTAAAAAATCCATCTCCCACACACGTTCTTCCCCCACGCCGTGAGCTTCCGATTTCATTTCAAGAGTGAGACAATAAAATCGGTTGCATGGGGAGGGAGGAGGGTAGGTGGAAGAGTGAGGGAGAAATCGAATTAAACGCGGAAAGTTTTCTAAATATATACGTGTGTGTGCTGTCTGTTCTCCTTTGATTCCTTTCCCTTTAGAACAAGATAATAACTCAGTCCCCTGGACAAGTTGCCAGTTCTAAAAATGTCCTCATACAATGTGAAACTGGAAAAGTTTTGACTCAGTGTCTAATATTTCCCGAGGCGAACTGGTATATTGGCAGAGAGCACGAGCTTGGATACACAAGTGTCTGTGTTTTTTTTTTTTTTTTTTTTTTTTTCCCTGAAAATTGCTTTGCATTAAATTTCCTCAGCTTCAGAATTATCTTTACTCGCCTCCAGCTAAACTTGATTTTTTTTTTTTTTTTTACCAAGCGCTTGATCTGTTGGCGAATGAAATCTGAGAAGAAACCGCAGGCCCTAAGTGGCCGTAATTTAATTGATTTTATCATAAATCATCAACTTCATGAAGAAGCAAAGTTTTCATTGAAGTAAATTGATATTAATGGACACTTTCTGAAATCTAGCCATATAGATCTGTATGTTGTTGGTCCTCCCACTTCTCTTTTGGGACAGGAGATTTGGGTAGGGGAGTATTTTTCCACACTTCTATCTTTTTTTCTCCTACTCTCCCTAAAAACGATTTATTGCAGCGTGGGGGATCTGATCCCTGGCGTGGCGAGGTGGGGGGGGGAGCTAGAAGCTCTGTTCCTCTTTGTGGCATTTCACAGCAAGGCCGAAATCCGGGAGCACCGAAACGAGGCTCTTCTGGGTGGATGAACATCGAGCAGCTGGGTTTCTTTGGGTTGTTCCCTTAGCTAGGTTGTCCGCTCTGCCCATGGGTTTGGGGGCATCGGGATGTGGTATTTCTGGAAAAAACACGTGCGTTGCAGCGAGGTGCATCCCGGCTCGGCCAGCCTTGCTCCCATCCGTGTTAAAAATAAAAATAGGATTTAAAACCTCCTCTTCCATCTGCCTGTCCTATCCTGTGTTAAACATTATTGTTCCCAAAACTTCCCCTCCTAATTAAAAATTAACTAAGAACCCGGGAAAGAAGGGAGCCCTTTGATATGGTGATAAGTTTGACAGACCAAATACCCATACAGTAAGAGAGGATTTTAGCAAAGGGCAGTGGCTCTGTTATGTGCCCATTGGTGGCCGTCTGTGAGGTGACTGCAGAGATGTACACTGAGAGGAGAATGCGGGACTCGGTGGTATCCTTATGGTTGCCTTACAGAAGATAAATATTCGGTGAAAACATTTTACCAATTTCGGTGAAAGAACATTCTTTCTCCTGAGAATCCCTGTTCAAAAATTGTTAGTCTCTGTGAATTATCACTTGGAAGAAGGTAAAATGGAGCTTATTTCTTCTCCCAGGTTCCTTCTCCCCCATGCTCAGACCGTCTTCCAGCGACAGCCAGGTCCCGGATTCAGGCGAGTACCACTGCAAAAATAACCAAATTTCTTCCTTTTCTCACAGAAGCAACCACGGTGGTAGTGTGGATGCCTGGCCCTCCTGGGAGGCGAAGGAAGGGCAGTGGGAGAAAAGCTTTGAATCCTCAAATCGTCATTCTTTCTTTCGCGGGGAGGGGAAGGGGGAGGTAGCCTGGAAGAGGGGCGAGGAGCCCGTCCCCAAGGCCTCCGAGCGCTGTCCCGCCGCCGGCACGGCAGAGAAGCCCCCCCCGCTTCTCCTGTCCCCTAACCCCGGGTGTTTCCCCTCTGTCACCGTCGCCTTCGCCGTTTGGCTGGACGCCGAGGCTTTGGGAGCGGTGTTTGTTGCGGTCGCTTTCCTCGTTAGTGTTTGTTCGTCTCCTTCGCTTTCAGGACAAAAGATTAAAAGGGGGGCGGTGTAGAATTAAAGAGAGCGCGAGAGAGAGAGAGAGAGAGAAGAACGAGCAGCTGGAGCTCCCCAAACCCAGGCCAGCCCCAGCTGCGGCGGCAGGGAACAAGGGGCATCGGCTGCCTGGGAAGTTTGGGAAATTTGCTGATGGGGGAATTTGTGCGACTGGAGGGGGAGCCGGTCATTTACCAATTCTGTATAAAATAGGGGAAAGGTTGACGTGTCCCAGTCACGTGAGCACATAATTCAAGCTATTATTTTGGCATTTGGAGTGGGGGTGGAGAAGAAAAGCGGGGATGGTGATTCCCAGCCCGCCTCCGGTGAGCCGCTCCCCAAACACCCATGTGCACCCGCTGGAACCGCAGCCTCGCTCACCCCAAACCCGCCCCAAACCCACCCCATCCCGACCCCGCCGCAGGTTTTGGCGACCGGGCGGGAGAGTGGTGGTGCGGGGGACGCGAGGATGCGAGAGGCTGCGGGGGGGGGGGCTGGAGTCTGCGGGGGACTGCGGGGCTGCCGGGGGGGTGCGAGAGGCTGCGGGGCTGCTGGGGGTGCGGGCGTGCCGGGCACCCATCCCGCAGCAGCCTGGGAGCGGCGCGGAGCCGGGCGTTGTTTTGTTTTGTTGTTTTTTTTGGAGACAATTCAAAAGCACTTCCGCTGAGCGATCGTTAACCTGGTGAGTTATTGCTCCTCTAAGCAAAGGTCATGGGGAGAAAAAGGTCTAATCTGTCAAGGAAAAAACACTGCTCACTCAGGTTCATTTTGATTTCTTATCCGGGCTGGCTTCTGTTTGGGGTTTAAGGAGGTCCTGGACCTTTCGTAACTCTCCCCTCCCTCGGGTTCTCTGAGGAATGGGAGCGTGGAAACCCAGACTCCTTCAGACCAAAACAAAAAGGACCGAGGGAGGCTGAGCAGCCCCCGGGGAGACGGTGGGTGCCGCGGAGGCCTCCACCCTGCCCCAGTGAGGGCCGAGCAGGGGCTGAGTGGGATCCGCACCGCCTCTGAGAGAGAAATTAATGCAAAGCAGATAGAGCAAAGCCCCCCAGTCAAAACAAAGAACACCGGGGGAAAAACTCGCTCCATCCATCGTTCTCCTGCCTTTACTGCAAGGGAATAAATTAAAAACAATGAAAAACAAACAGCTCCACGCCCCCGAAGCCGTTATTTACGTCAAATACATTTCTGTTTGTTTGTTTGTTTCCCTTTTCCCCTCCTCCCTCCTGCAACCACTCCAAATAAACGCGATTTTCCTCTTTCTCCACCTTTCGGTCTGCCCACTTCTCCCGGGTCCGGTGTGGGAGGAACTTGCCGAGACTCAGATTTCGTTTGCTGAGTTCACAACGCAGAAAGGGTGGTGATTTTTTTCCCCCTCTTTACAAATCTCTGTGTGTACTCTTCAGAGGGAACTGAAAAGCCCCAGTTAACTGGGGAAAGTTGTGATGTAAGTGGAATATTGCCAAAACTGTGTATTAAAGTGTGCGCTCGTGTAATAATAATACCAATAAAAATACAGCTATGGGCCGCCAACTAGAGAAGGTCACGAGCATCCGCGGGTGATTTATGGACTCGGGGATGTTGTCACAAGCAGAGTAGGGGTGTGAGGGGAACATTTTTATTTGAGATTAATAACATCAACATACAGAACGGAAACGGGATTATTAAAGCGACTGAATGTTTCCCAAAACGAAAATATTTTTAAATGAGATTGCTTTTTCTTTATTCCCTTCTTTTCCCTCTCTGAGTCCTTCCTGCGAACGTGGCGGCGGTAAATCTCGGTGTGGCTTTAAAAACATTACGGTTTGATATCGTTAATTCTGATGCCAAATCTCTGCTGTGCGAGCTGTGTCCTCGTACACCATAAAGCATCCCTCCCTTCCCCCCCGCCCCTTCGTGGCGATCCTCCGACCAAACTGGAGTGCACGAAAGAACAGCCCCCCCCCCGGCCCCCTTCTTAATTCCCAGTCCTTCAGGAAAGCGGCCTCGTGCTTTCCCCGATGTTTTCCTGTCCTTGGATCCGCCTGTGCTTAATCCCGAGCCCCCCGGCCCCGCCGCCTGTTTTGCCAGCGCGGCCCCCGGCGACCAGTCCCGCGGGGGCAGCCAGGCGGCCGCATCAGGGTTTTAAGGCAATAAACCCCAAAAGACCCGTGCCCCCTCCCCTCCCTCCCCCCCCGCACAACTCGGGTACGAACGCGCAGCGAGCGGTGCGCTCCCTGGAAATGCCGTGGCGGCTCGGATGAGAAGTAACCTCCGAGGGGAAATGCTGGGGCTTTTGTTATTAGAGCCTGTCTTCTCCCCCATTTCCACCCAACATTTCGCTGTTTGATGAATTCCCTTTGCATTCCCTTGTCCACGCTTTTCTGACCGAAGTTTCATACTTTTTTCTTCCCCCCCTTCAGTTCTCCTTTCTCAAACTCCATCACAGCCTCGTATTTGCTGGACCGGACATCCGAGAATTGGTGAGTTTTGCTGAATATCCTACCTGGTCCCTCTCCCTCTGTCCGTCTCTCTGCATCAGCCTTGCAAGCCATTCCTGCTGCAGTCACCCAGCGTGACCCCCCCCCCCCACCTGCACGGAGCACGGTGCTCGGGATCTCACTATTTTCATTTTGCTACTTGCTTGTCTTTAAACTTTGTGATTTATGGCCGTAACTTTGAGGGAGTGTTTTAAATGGAAGATATTTCCTGTACTCCCTTTGAAGGGAAAGCCAGTCAGATTGCAACATTTGCTGCTAATTTTGTGCGAGGGAGTTACATTTTAAAGAAAAATAATCTGCAACCGAAACAAAGATGGTAATACACAGCGAGCCTAAAAACTCTTTAGAAAAACTCAACACATAAACGTGCAACGACTTTTTTTTTTTTTTTTTTTTTTTCCGGCTGCCAGTTAAAGCAAAATTTTGCACTTCAGAGGAGTTACTTGCAGAACCCGAGATACTTCTGATTGCCTAGGTACCATAATAAGTCAGCGGACATCCATATTCAGAAACCTACAGAGTACTTCACCTACAGAGAAGTCTTTAAAAAGAGTCCGAGACAGTTTTTCCTCTCTCCTTTCCTGGAGTTTTAGCGCTGGGGGCTATAAAATATGAACTAACTTGTAGCAGAGGATTTATTTTGGAGCAGTTTATAAAAAGTCACACGGGGATAAAAAATCGCAATAGGGATGTCCCCGGTCGAAACTCTCACTTCAGGGATCTGAACGCTGCAGTCAGAACAATAGCTGGAAACACCGTAGTCCTTGGGATAACACTTTATCCATCACCTAGAAAATTGTGGCTGTCCAACTCAGAGTTAAATCCTCTCAAAACTCAAATGTTTGCTTGGACATCCTTCTTTCCCTTTTCCAGAGTCACTCGCCCAAGCTGAAAAAAAAAAAAAAAAAAAAAAGGCGATACAGCCCCCCAGCCGGTGTATGCCTTCCCCACGAAGTCCACAGAGCCCTTCTGGTCACTCCTTGTCTTGTTGCTAAACGTAAATCCCCCCCGTCAGCACTTAGCCGAAGGAGCGAGCGGCAGAATTAAAGGAGGGAAGATAATCGCGATGGGCAACAAAAGTACCACTTAAAACAACAACAACAAAAAAGTGCAGACACCTAAATTCTTTGCCCTGCCTTCCTCCCACTCGCCAGCCCCTCCTCGTCACGGACGCTCCCCAGAACGCAGCTCGGCGAGTTTCTGGGAGCGGAGGAAGGCGTGCGCCTCGGGCCGGGCACCCCGAGTGGCACCCGTGGCTGCCCCAGCACCCGGCCTCAGCCTTCGCGGCCCCCCGGTGCTCGCGCCCCGAACCCCCGAGCTCGCCCCCGCGAGGCCGGGAGCCGCCCGCAGGCAGCGGCCGGGACGCGAACTCCGCGCGAGTTCCGCGGCCCCCCCCCGGCTCCCCCCGCGCCCCGGAGAGGCTGCGGGGCCGCCCCCAGCCCCCCCGCCCCAGCCCCCAGCCCCCCCTCGGCTCTGGGCCGTCTCGGGGGGGGCCTCTCGCCGCCGAAGGGCCGCGGAGGGGCAGCGGCGGCTGTTGAAAGCGCCGCGACTGCAGCCGGCAACGGGGGGGGGACACACCATGACTATGTTGAAACGGTTTATTAGCATAAATTGACACCTAATTGTTAAACACGTGAATCAAAGGCAAGCTTTGCTATCTTTCTGTCTAGGCCTCTGTCCACCACGTCTGCAATTAGCATAATTTTTCACTAGTGACGCTGTTTGGGAGGCTCGTTGGCTTTGCCCAGCAATCCAGCCCAAATCTTTATTTTTAAATATCCCCTCCGTTTTATTTCCCCCTCGCCCCCCGCCCTCCCCTTAGCCTGGATTCTTTTCGTTATTATTTTAATCCTAGCCAAGCACTGCATAGTTAAAAAGGGGGGGGGGGGGGTTGTGTTCAGCTTTTCTTTCTTTCTTTTTTTTTTTTTTTTTTTTTTCCCTTCTCCTTTCCCTTCTTCCCCTTTGCTGTGGTAAAGCAGAGGCCATTGTTATCAGTGAGCAGAGCGTACCAGTCTATAGGGCAACTAGAATCTCAGGGTTTGTCCATTCAAAGCCCTCAGTTTTTCTGCACATCTTGGAAGCTGGAAAGCATCTTGATTTTTTTTTTCTTCCCAAACGGAGACAGAGACAATTTGAGCTGCCGTAACAGAAAGCTCCACTGGCTGAGCCCCCTCCCCCCTGTTTTGGCTTTTTTTTTTATACATTTATATATACATATGCTGGATTTTTTCCTCTCGCGTACTCCTTTAACGTTTTTAAAGGAAGGGGGTCATTCCTTGCTTATTGATTGCGTGGATGCTGGATGTGAAAATATATTATGTCTGCCTGTGCTTTGCTCGTCAGAGACTAAGGTAAGCCGGACTCAAATAGGCTATCACTTTGTGAATGGCGGAGTATATGTCCCAATGATTTATGACCATATGACTCCAATCTCGGTTCAAGAAGAGTTCACAAGCTTTAAGCTTCCTTCCACGCAGAGGCTCTTTTGCAGCCCTCATCCAGGGCCTTTTCCTCTGCTTTATAACTGGGGAGTTCTGCTTGGTGTGAAGCTCGGTTGTGGGGGAGGGAAAAGGGAAATTTTAGGAATGTGTCTCTATTTTCCAGGCATATGCACCGCACGGCAGTCGCTGGGATCTGAGGTCTTTCTCAGCAGCCGACTTATTGTTAAGGGCATGTGTAGAATATTTATTATCGATAATAATTGAAATTAAACACCGGGCTATTCCTGTTTTCACCGGCTCCGGGCAATATTCCTTGGGAGGGGGCGGGGAGAGGGGAAAGGCGCTGCTCTTCTTCATAAACAGAGCCAGGTCGGGAATTTAGGATTTCCAACATGGAGGGAACGGTTTTACAGAGGAAGACATCCGCCTTAGAGTTCTACCTTCTTCCCCCGGGCGCTGGATTTCCCTTCGCCCGCAGCCCTCTCCCCTCTCCCCTTACCCCTCCCCGATTTTATTTCCGTGCCCCCGAAGCTTCGCCCCCAAAAGTTCCTGGCGAGGAGTTGTGGTTAAACGTTACGGCTGGCAGAGCGAAACTTGGAGCGCGAGGAGACCCCGGCAAGGACCCTGCCCGGCTTTAATTGGAACAGGAGATAATCGAATATTTATTATTCTGCCTGAGATTTTTTTTTTTTTAAACAATTCCTTGGAGTAAATAATTAGGATTGCGGCCGTCCTCGGCAAAGATAAATGAGCGGCATTTGTGAGGCGCTGAGAGATGAGGTACAAAGCAAATCTCTGGAAGCCACAAGCGAGAGAGCTTTTGGGCAAAGGGGGTTGTAAATTTATTTTATGGGCTTTTTTTTTTTTTTTTTTTAATCGCTGTTATTTTTAGCTGTTTTCGCTGAGCCTCTTCACTCGGTTCTCTTTTCTTTTCCTTTTTTTTTTTTTTTTAAGAAACCTATGCCAGACAGGAAGGCCTTGGAGAAATTCCCACCTCTGCCCTTCTAGACATCTTCAGCAAACGTATTCATAATAACAGCGCTGCTGTTTGTTAATTAATTCACAGCTTCTCAGCTAGGGTACTGGAGTATACTTTTTAATAAGACTTATTTATCATGGTGCGGGAACCAGAGGAGAATAACTCCCAGCAAAGATATAATTCTCCCTATAGACAATAATACATCTCGGTGGAAGATACAATACATATTTGGGAATGCATAAAGGATTTAATCAGTGTAAAAAGCAAACCAGTCCCTTCGTGGACACTGTCTGAGGCTGTGTTAGAAGTATATGGAGGTTTCATCTGCCATGGCAGAGGAACACAGCAGTCAAGGAAGAGAAGGGAAGGGAAAAAAAAGATGTTATTTATTGTTGAGCTGTGGCTTCTGTTAAACCCCAGTACTCAGAAATATCACATTAGATTCCATCTCTGCAGATTTTATTTTATTTATTTTATTTTATTTTATTTTATTTTATTTTATTTTATTTTATTTTATTTTATTTTATTTTATTTTATTTTTATTTTATTTTAATTTTAGAGAATGAAAGAGCCCAGATAAAATTAAATATACAATAGATACAATTAAATATACAATGGATATCAATTTCAAAGCAAAATGTTCAGTGGCTCCTTGCAAACTCTGAGCTGCAGAGAGAAGTTACTGCCTTTTTAAAAGATGTTAGCTACACATCAGATTATTTTCAGTAATAATAGTTTTCATATTTCTGAGGGCATTTCTACTCTGTATCGTAGAGAAAGTTTATGCTAGAGAGAGAGAGAGAGAGAGAGAGAGAGAGAGAGAAAGAAAGAAAGAAAGAAAGAAAGAAAGAAAGAAAGAAAGAAAGAAAGAAAGAAAAAGAGAAGGATGGAGAGAGAGAAAGAAAAGAGAAAGGTTTCATTTTGTGATTTGAGGTGTTCAATTGGGTTTTTATACTTCTAGGGCTTGGACTTGGGGAGAGAGGAATTATGGAAAATGGACGGGCTACAAAGTTAGGAGCAAATGGTCTGGTGACACATTCGTTTTCTAAGGGAAAAAAAAAAAAAAAAAAAAAAAAAGGCAATTAAACTGCTTTTGGAATTACATCTTGGCAACAATAGTACCAGATTCAAGAGCAATGAGTATGGAGTAGTGCAGGCAACAAAAGGGTATGTTTTCTAAATACAACCTGTGCTGCCAAAGAAAGAGAGAGAGAGACCAACAAACAGGCCGAAGGAAGCACATTCTTGAATTCATGCCCCTGCTTAAATCTGCTTAAAATATTTGCCCCGAATTCCAAAGACACTGTGAGTCTCTGTGTAAACAGCAAATTGAGCCAACTGTGTCAGGACACTTTTACCTGGATAAAACATATCAACTATTGGCTGTTTTCAGTTTTAGAACAAATATACCAGAGAGTGGCCTTACAATAAACTTAGCATACTGTTCTGAGTCTAAAACATGCTGTTGTTTTTTATGTCTGTGAACGGCTGATTTTAATAGGTCAGGGATAAGAAGACATGACTCTCATTCCTCTCATGCTTGTAGCCAGCAATTATCTGTTCCATATTATTGTATTTACGTTAATGTGCACAACTGCACATGGATTTGCATGTGTACCCCCCCTCTGTGGGTATATGTGTGTATTCCTACGTGTATATATAGAGAGATGAGTGATAAATACAGATGTAAATAGACGTATAAAGATGTAACCACATGTACTTACTGAGCATGTGCGTAGTTATACAACCTTGTTGTTATGCTCTGAGAAAAAAAGGGGCTAACAAACAACAACCAGGAAAACTATCCCCAAAAATCAGCTCAACGTTTTTGCACTAAAACATCTGATGAGCTTTCTTAGGCTGCACACAGGACAAAATCTGCTCAAAGCATCTGTTCACCCTGTTCTGCAGGACCCTATTCATGTCATGTGCCTTTCAGGCTCCAAGATGGATTCATAGGCTGGGTACTATTATTGTGTGTTTTCTCCTAACCTTTCAGGTCAGCTTCCAATAGACAGCTGGAAACGGCCTGTCACGTGGCCTTGGGGTGCCAATGTTCTGCCATAGGGGTGTCAAGACCCTGGTAGCCAGAAAAATCATTTTGGGGAATCCCAGAGATGCAGAAGACAACATACTACGACAGCTCCACGCTCTTTGGGGGCTACTCCTATGGGAGCACCAACGGGTTCGGCTACGAGGGTCCACAACAGCCCTTCCAGCCAGGCTCTCATGTGGAGAGCGACTACCAGAGGTCTGCCTGTTCCCTCCAGTCCCTTGGCAACACAACCCCTCACACAAAAAGTAAAGACCTGAATGGGAGCTGCATGCGTCCAAGTTTACCCCAGGAGCACCATCCACCTCCAACTGTCTCGCCGCCCCCAAACCCTGCCACCAACAGCACCAGTAACAACAGCAATAACCAGTCGGGGAGCAGTAAAAGTGCCCCCAGCAAAGCCAACCTCAGTGCAAATGCCAGTCTCACCAAGCAGATTTTCCCCTGGATGAAAGAATCGAGGCAAAACTCCAAACAGAAAAACACTTCCCCTAGCACAGGTACACTGTTCTGCTCTTCTAACCATCCACTTTCCTAACTTGTGAGGTAACAGAGCCACTGTCCAGAGGGGTCTTTTTTGGAGGAAGGATAGGGGGGAAGGATCCAGCAAGGATCCAGGTGCTGGGCATGATCCCAAGGCCACTAGCCACACACACCGGCTGGGCCAAGCAGGCTTGGCCCATCCTGCAGTGCTGACCAAACCCTTGGTTTCTTCTGAACATAACCAGGGCACCTCGGGGAAGTGCAGCCAGGCAGCTGTACACAGCCAATGTCTGGCCATGCAGATGCAGACACCCAGTGATGTGCACCCCTGATCAATCTAGAGATGAGAAAGCCGAGTGCTTGTTTTCTTCCTTCCTCTCTGCCTCCAGACACAGGAGTAAACACAGTGCTCTCTGACTGTGTGTGCCTATAGGGAGCATATGCATAAATACAAGGATATTTCTGCATGCATACACACATGCATCTCTAATGCAATCGCAGATAAAAAATCAGTATGGAAATAGCACTGTTGTGACAAATGTATTCACATAAGCTCTGCAGCATGCACTTCACTACATTAGTATTGTTTATCTAGTATAGACATGCTTATATTACAAAAACATAGGTACAAATGCAATTTGGTGTAAAACAATGTGCGTGTAAATATTTCTGTTACACAAATATGAGCTGCACACAAGATGTGTGTGTGTGTGTGTATTAACACCTTGGAAAACAAAGTACCTCCCAACACTGACCCATGTTAATATTAATTGGCTTTGCAGTGAGTGCCCCCCTGCCAAATATTATTTTCTCAAAATTATCTGTTGAAAATAATCGACTCCTAAATAAATGGCCCTGGAATCCTTTTCTACATGACATGATCAAATTTTCATAAACCAGGGGCAGCTTTGGAGAACAGAACTCTTAATAAATGACATGATTATGGAGTGCAGGCTAATGCAAGGGGGTGAGGGAAGGGGGGGGTCGAACTCTTGTGCCTGTTCCAGGATTTATTAAGAAACGATGCATTCAATTTCTGCATGTAAGTAATTATCTTTTATTTCATTTCGCGGCCAGCAGAAACCTGCAGTGGCGAGAAAAGCCCTCCAGGCTCCTCGGCCTCAAAGAGAGCCCGCACAGCCTACACCAGCGCTCAGCTGGTGGAGCTGGAGAAGGAATTCCACTTCAACCGCTACTTGTGCAGGCCCCGCCGTGTGGAGATGGCCAACCTGTTGAACCTCAGTGAGAGGCAGATCAAGATCTGGTTCCAGAACAGGAGGATGAAGTATAAGAAAGATCAGAAGTCAAAAGGCATGGGGTCTTCTTCTGGAGGGCCTTCCCCCACCAGCAGCCCGCCCCAGCCAATGCAATCCTCTGCCGGATTTATGAATGCCTTGCACACCATGAGCAGTAACTACGATGCCCCCTCACCGCCTTCCTTCAATAAGCCCCACCAAAATGCCTATGCCATGCCAACTAACTACCAAAACCCCATCAAAGGCTGCCCCTCCCAACAGAAGTACACCAACACGGCCCCTGAGTACGACCCCCACGTGTTACAAGGGAATGGGGTGACCTACGGGACTCCCAGTATGCAGGGAAGTCCCGTCTATGTTGGAGGTAACTATGTGGATTCTATGCCCACCTCTGGCCCGTCCCTCTACGGCCTCAATCACCTGCCACATCCCCAGGCAGCCAGCATGGACTACAGCGGGCCTCCGCAGATGCCTCCGAGCCAGCACCACGGACCATGCGAGACCCACCCCACCTACACAGACCTTTCCACGCACCACGCATCTTCTCAGGGCAGAATCCAAGAGGCGCCCAAGCTGACCCACCTGTGATAGGGAGCAGGGACAGGCTCGAGCCAACTGGATGGGACCCAGACATGGGACAGAAAGGAGGCGAAGAGGGCAGGACTGGCTTCAGAAGCATTTGTGTCGAGCTATTTATTTATTTTTTTTATTTTGTTGATGTTTTTTTCTTTCGTTCTTAGGTTTTTGTGCTTGCCGTTATTATTTCTGGGTTCCGTTAGGCACAATTTCCAATCATTTCAGTATTTACTGACAAAAGCAGCTTTCTCTCTGAAGAGATATACCTCCTGTGGGTCAACACAAATGCTTCTGAAGCTGTTTTTGGGTAGATTTGTGGGAATCTAGCAGATTTTTTAGCAGCAACATCCTTAATTTTCAAACAAACTACCGATTACCAATGGTAATCCTTGGACAGTGGACAGCAGAATAGCCAGCCAGCCAAATCTTAAACAGTTGGTGTCTCTGCATCTACAGAAACATACACACCTGTCCACATAGGATATCAAAAGAGATTCCCAAGAAAACTATCCTCCCCTTCAACTTCTTCTCTAGAAAAACGTTGTGCTTTCCTTTCCAGCCTTCTGAGGAAGGGCATCCTTTTTTGATGAGTAACTTCCCACAAATCCCCACATAAACTGCAAATATACACACCTGCCAACATGTAGAATTCACACTCTTTCCCTCTTACCCCACCTCCCCTCTCAAAAATAATTAAAAAAAATAGAATAAGAGAGGTCTAAGAATTGCAAAAGGTTCAGGAAACAAGTTTCTGAAATGCCTAAAAACCCACCCACACTAACAGCAGTCCAAAGAGAGGAAGAAAGAGTTGACAGGTCTGAATATTTTTCCACCTTTGCCACTGATGATGTGAAGTTTCCATTTTTCCATTTGAGACACCGTTGGCTGACTTTTTTTTTTTTTTTTTTTTTTTTTTGGGGGGGGGGGGAGCGGGGGGGATTTTTCTTAGGGTTCATTGACAGAAAAGCAATCTTAAGACTTAGAAGTCCTATGCTTCTTTACTCCTCTTCTCCTGACCTTACGTGAAAACAGGGTATATTTGAACAAATGGAATGTCCTCCAATAGAAGCAGAAGTGAATGGATCTCTAGTATTTGCTAATGCTTTCTTGTCTGGACATCTTTGTTGCACTTAGAGTTTACATATAATGGGTATAAAAACAACTTTGAAGGGCGTCCGTCCAACTCAGTCGAGATGTCCTTCAATAGGTGTGTGTTCTGGTGAACATTCATATATATTTATTGGTTATAGCCAGTTTAAAATATTTTCCTTTTTGTATTATTTATCCCCAATATTATGTATTTATATGAGGAAAAAAAAAAAAGAATCAAATTGTACTTTTTTAGTATTTACTTGTTATAAAGGACATTGTGTTTCCTCGTCATTGTACAACAAGCTTATTTTAGTTATTGTAATTTAGAAAGACCAGTAGTTTTATGTTACCTTCGTACTTATGAATAATGTAATTAGTTCTACTGGAGGCATGAGAGCAGAACCAGCCTGTAATTGTATAGTCCCGGTTAGAAGAGCTAGAGCTGACCCCTCCCTCCCACCTCGCCCTCCTCTCCGGAGTTTTCTTTGTTCTTACAGTAGTTATTTTATTTCCTTGCTTAAGGGTCGTCTGTTGAGCAATTCTTGAATAAACTTTCTGTTATCAATTTTATCTCGTCCCATCAGTCGGATTTAAAAGCAGAGAAAGAGAAAACGAAAACGAAAAAGAAAAAAAAAAAAATAGAAGGAGAAGAACGGGCAGAAGAGGGAGCGGGGGGGGAGAGGAGCGAGCGAGGTCCCGGAGGGGCCGGAGCCGGGGCCGGGGCCGCTCCCGCCCCGGGCCTGCTCCCGCCCGCGGCACAAAGGGGTCACGTGGCGCGGGGCCGCGCTGCCATTGGGCCGCCGCGAGCACAAAGGCGGGCGGCGCACAAAGGGCGCGGGCCGCGCGCGGGGAGTTCCGAGGCGCTGCGCGGGCACGGCCGCGGGCACGCGCCCTGGGCAGGGGCAGGGGCAGGGGCAGGGGCTGCCGGGCGGGGTGGGCTTTGGGAGGTCCCGGGGAGCACCGGCAGCACCACGCCACCGGGCCTGCCGCGTGCCCGGCCGGCGGAGAAGCGGCGCCGGCTCCCAGGGCAACAGCCACAACGACGGCACGGGGCAGCACGGGGCAGCACGGGGCAGCACGGGGCAGCACGGAGCCCCGGGGCCGCTTTTCCTCCCAGCGCTGCCGCTGGGCTGTGCCGCCCCGTGCAGGGAGCGATTCGCCCTTCGGGGAGGCCGTCACGTAAAAGCACAACAGCGTGCGCGCTGCGATGGGGACCGGGACAAATAAAGGGAGCTTGGCCTGGGCTGCGGCTCGGGGGAGGTTTCTTTCCCCTGTCGCTGAATGCGGTGCTCTCAGAGCCACGTCCCGGTCGCCATTTGCTGGGTTTGTGGCCGGGATTCCCGGGAACTGGTTCAAAATCGGCACGGAGAAGCCGATACCGAGCACGCAGCGCGGCACAGCTCGTGCTGCCGTCAGAGGGGTTCTCGCCTGCCTCCGGCCCTGTAAATCCTCGCAGCCTCCGGCCCGATCTGTGTCCCCCCGTTGCAGGCGCAGACACGGCTTTGTCTTAAACGGGTGCGTTTCCCAACCGCTCGCTAGCCGTGCGGATTCCTTGCTGCTGGGCAATGCCTCTCCCCTTGAGTACGGGGATTTATTTTTGTTCCTGTTGCCTCCGCATGGTGCGTGGGAAAAAAAAATAAATTACTCTTTCCCGGTTGTATTTTGTTTTGTTTTGTTTCGGCACTTCAGTGTCAGTAAAAGCAGTGAATCCCGTTGGGGCAGCATCCCTTTTACACCCCAAATTCCTCTGCTGCACCCCAGCCCCCCGGTGAACCACACCGCGCGCCCTCGGAGAGCAACGAGGAACCAGGAGCCTAAAGACAAAGCCTGAAACCGTCAAAACGCCACTTCAGTCCAAAAAAAGCAAGAAATGATCGGAAAACAAACTATGAATTAAGACATCAGTCTCTATCTGACAGGATTTATGTTTATTTCGATGACCACATACACGGATAATAAATCTTTAGGGAAATTCTACCAAACTCTAAAGCCCTCAATCGAAGTGCGCTTTGTAATTTTAGTTTTAGTTTTTATTATTATTTTAATTTTTATTTGTCATTTTGCTAAACTGTGGTTGGGTGTCTAGTTCAGCTTTAGATTTATTATGTGTTTCTCTAAAACCCGTGCCACCCACACGGATGCTTTAACTGACAAAAGTTTCTAGGCTTCTCCCTGTGTGAATGCAGCCTGCCAATCCTCCTCTGCTGCAAAATGGGAGAAATGGAGCTTGACCAAACAAACGAAAACCCAGCCAGATTTCCATTTTGCAGCAAGCAACTTTTTTTTTTTTTTCCCTAGAATTTTTTATTTTTTACACTTCCCAGATTCTGGGCCCTGGATTAAACTTTTCGACTCTTTCTTGCTTGAAGTAACTCCTTAGCAAAAGCCAAAGTTCTTTGCTGAGTGAGTTAGGCTGAGCTGTCAAATTCTTTCGAGAAAAAGATTGATCGTTTCTCTCTTTTTTTCGGTTTGTGTGGACCTGGCCACTTTAAAAGAAAAAAAATAAAGGAAGAAAAAAAAAAAAAAAGAAGAAGAAAAAAGAAAATCTTCCTGGGAAACGACTTTTCGTTTTATTTATTTTGTAAACTCTGGAAGTGGATCTGTTCATTGGCAGGGAGAAACGGGGAGAAAAAGGATGGGAAGTCAGAAATGCGATTTCAAAGGTATCTGTGACCTTAAAAACACATTTGGCTTTTAAGGAAAGCGTAACGGGTGCGTTGAGTGTAGCTTTGGAAGCAGGATTGCGCTGTTTCTTTAAAAGTAGTTTAACGAGGTAAATCTGGCCGATCTACCTGGACTTGACGTAAACGATTCCTTGATTTCCTAAGCGCCTCATGCCCAGGCTCAGCCACAAACCTGCGGACCGGACCGGACCGTCCCACAACGCATCCGCACGGCGGGCCCGTACCCGCGGCGGTGCCGAGGGCCCTGCGCGCCTGCGGTTCGGGGCCTTCTCCCCGGCTGCGGGAGGGCACCTCGGGCAGGCAAAGGCCCTTTTCCCACGTCCGCCTCCCCCGGGGGGAACCAAATGTCCCGAGCCCAGCGACGGTGTCCCCGCGGAGCCGCCCGGCACCGGCAGCACCGGAAAATGCGGGTAGCCCGGGCAGTGCGGGCAGTGCGGGCAGCACCGGGCAGTGCGGGCAGCACCGGGCAGTGCGGGCAGCAGCTCCTTGCCTGCTGGTCCCGCGGAGCCTCCCGCAGCCCGCCGAGGACGGATGGCGGGGATGCTTTTCTGGGGATCTTCTCTCGCCTTTTTTTTTAATCAATTAAAGAAAATAATGCGTTCTGTTTGCCACCAGACCCCGCCTGCCATTGGCCGCGGATGGCCACGTGACCACGAATTGGCTGCAATTTCGCCCCAGTCTCGAGTTTAATAGAGCAAGGTCCCCATACGCCTGTATTATCAGCAATATAACAATTATAAAAAGCCCGAGAACCATCATCATCACTGCCATAAAAACTGAGGCCCTCAGATTTCTTCCTCTCTTCCCCTCCTCCTTCCTCCCCCCCTCCCGCTTTTTAAAGCCTGGGCCCTGGAAAAGCCATGAATTTTGAATTTGAGAGGGAGATCGGGTTTATAAATAGCCAGCCTTCGCTCGCAGAGTGCCTGACGTCTCTTCCCGCTGTCCTGGAGACATTTCAAACTTCATCAATCAAGAACTCGACATTAATTCCTCCTCCTTTTGAGCAAACCGTCCTCAGCCTGAATCCTTGTTCCAGCAGCCAAGGAAGACCGAGGAGCCAAAAAAGAGCATCTCATGGCCTGCTCCAGCCCCAGCCTCCGGCACAGCCCGGCCCCTTGGCAGCGGAATTCCCCTGGATGAAGGAGAAGAAATCGTCCAAGAAAGCAACCCAGGCTCCATCCTCGTCTTCCTCCTCTTCCCCCCCATCATCTTCCTCGTTGCCGATCCCTGCCGCAGGATCTCCCGCAGGTTCGTATAATAAGGGGATGAGGGGGTGTTTGCTGAAATCGGAGAGGATTCGAATGATGAACAGTCCCCGCCGTCCCACCAGCAGCCTTGCCCTGGCTCCCCAGCAGACTTTGCCTCCCCGAAACTGTGTCACGCAATAAAATGCACCGCAGCAATGTACACCGCCGAGGGGACGGGTATTTATCCCCCCCGCAAATAAAAGAGAAATTGCTGCAACTTCTGCGAAAGCAAAGAGATTTCCGGGGGAGTCGGGTTTTTTATGAGCTACAGCGGGGGGACTTGGCAGCTGAGTCACAGCTCCATTTTCTTGACTTTCCCTCCCAGCCTTGATTTTCCTTACAACCTACAGGGAAAAAAAAAAAAAAAAAAAAAAGTGGAGGGAGGAAAGAAAGACGGGTGGGTAACCCTGAGGCTGCTGCGAGCAAGATGAGGAGGCAGAAAGACGGAGAGCAGGGCTCCCCAACAACCAGCACAGTGGGGAGAGACAGCTCACCATCGCAAAACTGATACACCCCCAAATCCTCCAACCCCCAGGCAAACTAACATCTCTCCAAGGCGTCCCTTGGCCAGGGAGCTCAGTAACCCTGGCCAGGGACCCTCCTTCCCCCGGGACAAAATGTGTAAGTGTAATTCACTGTTTATGTATTTTCCTAGCGCCGTTCAGGTAAAAAATGTTCAGGCAGAAAGGCGGACACCACATTGGCCAGATAACACAGGAATCGAAGCCCACAGCATCAGTCCCTAACCTACTGGCAGGGAAAAAAAAAAAAAAGAGAGAACGAAAAATGGGTCGAAATTCCCCATGTTTGCGTGTCTGCGAAGTGGGCAGAGAAGAAAGGGAGAGGCCAGGGAGCAAAATCCTTTCTCCTCCTTGGGGGCAAGGGTACCGGAGAGCGATTTCCAACCTTCTTCCACAGTGGGAAGAGCTTAATTAAACATTTCTCTCGCAGCGGCTCCCCAACCCTCCCCCCACCCCCGCTCGGTAGTGCGAGGCACGGTCTGCCCTGCCCGCTGCAAGGAGGGGACGGATCCAGACCCTCCATCCGCGCAGCGGCCCCCCTCCCTCTTTTGCAACGTGCGGTTTTGTGTGTTTAAGACACCCAGGGGCTCGCAGACACCAGCGGCTCCAGGAGGCTCCGAACGGCGTACACCAACACGCAGCTCCTGGAGCTGGAGAAGGAATTCCACTTCAACAAATACCTCTGCAGGCCCCGCCGGGTGGAGATCGCGGCTCTTCTCGACCTGACCGAGCGGCAAGTCAAGGTCTGGTTCCAGAACCGCCGCATGAAGCACAAGCGGCAGACGCGGCACAAAGAGCCCCCCGACGGGGACGCCGCCTGCCCCGGCCCGGACGAGGGCAGCGACCCCCTGGACGAGGCCGAGGACGGCCCCGCGCTGGGGCCCAGCCGCGGCCAGGCGCGCCCCGAGCCGCCCGGGGGCCCCCGGAGTCCGGCGCAGCCCCGCGCCGCCGCCTCCCGCCCGCAGCGCGCCCGCCCCGGCGGCCGGGACTCGCCTTCGCTGCCGGAGCTGGGCATCTTCTCGGCAGAGCCCTGCCTGCAGCTCTCCCCCGACCTGCAGGACTCCCTGGGGAGCCCCGTCCACTTCTCCGAGGAAGACCTGGACTTCTTTGCAAGCGCACTTTGCGCTGCAGAGCTGCAGCACCTGAATTTCCAGTAGCGGGCCCGCTCCCCGCCTGCCGCTGCTGCCCCGCCAGGCCGAGGCGCCCCCGGCCCCGCTGCCAGCTGCCCCCGGCTGCGGGGGGGGGGGGGGGCGCCCCCGAAAACGCCCCCGAGCCACCATTCGTTCAATCACCCCCCCCCCCCCCCCGTGCCCCAAACTCTTTCTTCCGAGAATCGCGTTGCAGGACCCGAATCACACTCGCAGTATTTATTTTACAAGGCTCACATAAAAGAGTAGGGGTTTTATTATTATTTTGTAATTAAAACCAGGTTCTTAATTACAGGCTTCTTTCTTATTTATTTTAAAGACGGCGCCCGATTATTTTCACGCACATCAGACATGTCAGGCCTCGAGAGAAAACATTTGTAAATCCTTCAAGTGACTTTCTCAGGAATCAGAATGAGACTTTTAGATTTCCTAATAAAATGATAATGATAATAATAATAATAAAACAGAGGAATTTTCTTTCCTCTTTTTAAGTTGTAGATGTAGACTATTTATTAAAATCTTTTAATAGTAAATGACAAATTATTTATTGTACATTATTTTCATAGAGTAAATAAATGCCTTTACAAAACTAAGAAACGTGGGTTGCTATATATTTCATTCGAAATTGTTATCTCTTTTTTTTTTTTTTTTTTTTTTTTTCCTAAACCAGTCTCCTTCCTCTTCCCTGATTTGCAGCAATCTGGTGTCTTTATAGTCTGTTCATGTGCACTGAGAGAGAGGACAAAAGAAATTGCTCCCAACTAATACTGCAAGAGTCTTCGTGAGTCAGAAATATTTGCCCTGTTCCGTTCTGTCTGCGTTTCCTTTGAGCTTGTTTTTTAATGTTATTATTATTATTATTTTTAATAAATCGAAGCCGGGTATTTGTTTCCCATGCTAACACTCGCTGGTGTGTTTTTGTGACTCCCTCCCGAAAGCACGGCTCGGCCGAGGGGAAGGCAGCACAAAGGCAGCGCTGCGGAGCCCCCGCACATTCCGCTCCCGTGCTGGGGGCGGGGGCGCAGCCCCCTGCAGCCGTTCGCGCAGCCAGGCCCGGAGCGGTCAGCTCTGCCCCTTGCCGTTAGCCCACTCCTCCGTCTCTCATCACTTTCAGCAGGAAATAGAAACGTGCCACATCGCAGTTATAAGTATTTTAAATGTTCCCGACTACCACAAAAAAAAGGCGGAAAAAAGGGGGATTTCGAGTAAGTGCAAAACATGGGTAGTGTGAGCCATCATTTTGGCCAACAAAAAAAAAAATGCTACAGAGGGCAGAGGGGCTAGAGATTAGCCTGAAAGAGGCATTCTTTTTTTTCATACCCCGTCTTTTCAGCAGCAAAACCCAGAAAACCTCCGGCCTCGTAAATCTGCGGTCTCCTTCCGCAGCAGTTTGCGCAGCTCTGTCTCGGCTCGCGGATCTCTTCACGAACGCGGTCTAGCAACGTGCGATTTTAAACACAAACCTCACATATCAGGGAGGGAGGGCGCGAGGCGGAGGGGGTGGGGAGGCTTATGAATGGAGGGGGGTCAGCGCAGGAATCAATCGCGGTGACACCCAAAATAAATCACATTACGTCTTTGCTAAGTCACCGGTGGTTCCTCGGGCACGGTAGAGCCCCGGCGGGCGGCGTCTGCGCGCGGGGCGAGCCCGGGGGCGCCGCGGGCAGGGGCCGAGGGGAGCGCGGGGAGCAGCCGAGCGGCCCCTACCCACGGCGCTGCCCCGGCCCCGGCCCCAGGGCCAGCGGAGGGCCGGCTAAGGGCGGCCCGCGGCGGCCGGGGGCAGCGAGCCGCGCCCGGAGGGGCCCGGCCCCGCGGGGCTCCCCGGGGCCGTGGTCTCCGTCCCGCGGGGCCGTTCCGGCGCTCCGGCGGCTGGGCGGAGCCGCCCCCCCGCGGGCCAGGGCCTGGGAACGCGCTCGCTCGTTCTGTGCTTTCGTGTTGGGGGCGTCGGAGCCGGGCTCGCTTTCTGCTTCGGGCAGTAAAAAGAAATAAAACGAAAGAAAGCGAGCCCTCGACAGATGTTCTCGAAATTGCTGTGCGAAGATCTGGGTTATCGCTCCCCGCCGGAACAAAGGCAGGCTGGTTTTACGGCTACCTTTTCACTCGGAATGACACCGCTGGCCTCCCTCCCAACCAAGCGAGCAGACGTTTCAGACCTGCTAGCAGCTCGCTCCGGGAGGGAGTCAGTCTATGCTTAAAATGGACGTGGATGGCAGTTACGGTACGCAGGTGAACGTTACCAAAAGCACCCTCCCGTCGACGAAAGGAAGCGGCCGGTGCGCGGCCCGCGGGGGCTGCAGCCCCCGGCCGGGAGTCGCCCCCCGCTGCGCTGCCCCCTCTCCCGACTCCTTCGCTCTGGAAGTCCTCGAGCCAGGCGGGGGAGGATGGGGGGGGCGGGGGAGGGAAAGCCCAGGCCCAGCCCAAGTACCACAGAAGGCTATTCATTATCTTTAAGTTTATTTAATATCTCCAGCTTCTGGAACATACTCAGCGGCAGCGTTGGCGCTGCCAGACGCTGTCTATCAAAGCGCCATTTGTTCCAGTGCTTTACAGATCCCCCCTCGCCCCCCCCCCCCCCCCCCCCGCCCCGCAGCACTCTGGAGCACGGGCTTGTTGCGGGGCTGCTGGAGCCGGCGTTCGGTGGCGGGGGGGGCGCGCAGCCCCCGCGCTCGGCGCTGCCTCGGCCCGGGCCGGGGCCGCTCCCGTGCCCCGCCGGGCTCACGCGTGTGCGCGTCCCGTGCGCCAGGGGCCCGGTGTGTGGGGGGGTTCTCGTTCACCCGAAGCCGCGTACATTGGCGTCTCTTGGCGAATGGAACTCGCAGCGGATCTCCACGGCACAGCCGCCCTTTCCGCGTGGAAGGCAGGAGGGGAAGTGAGAGGCGGAGGGGGACGCACACTCCCTCCTCGGTGTCCCCCATGCGGCGCGGCCCACGCAGGAGCAGACCCGGGGTGGGGCGGGAGCGGGGGGCTCCACCGACGTACACCCTGACACCTTATCAATACAAATCTCTAACAAGGGCCCTTCTGCAGGTCGTAATGACTTCTCAAAGTTGCTGCAGGTCTAGAAAGCATGCCAGTCACAGCCACAGATCAATTCTACACCCACGGAAAGTGACTTAATAAATGGAACCTCGCCAGTTATTATCCTTGCTAACAGCAGGCCCTTTCTTATTTGTCCTAATTAGCAAGACTGAAATGTCGGAGGAAAGAAGGGGAATATTCAATAAAATCTAAATTATTGAATGACTGTAAGATTTCGCCATCAGTTCAGCCATTCTTTACCTTCTTCAAAATGTCAAACAAATGGGGAATGCATATTTGCAACCCTGCCCTTCTGTTCTGTGCAACTGGAGGGCATACATTAAGCATATTAAGCGTATTCAGCTCTTGATCGTTGTCAAAACAGTGCAATTGCCTCACGATTATTAACCTAGAAATATGCAAATGAGATACACTCACACGTGTTGTAGGGATGCTAAAGTAATATTTATCTTGTGCTGGTCTAGTCTGGGGATGTGTTTGCTAAAGAGCTACTTGAAGCCCTGAAGATGTTGAACTAACCCGTTAGAGCCATGGGAAGGCTCAGGGTGGAAAACCTTCTGTGAAGGAAACGCGGGCGAGACCGAGTGGCAGGCCCCGAGCCTTTGATGTGAGAGGTGGGAAGCGTTTTACTTCTCCCGGGGAATCACCCCGACCGCCCTCCGGAGCTGCCGGTGCCAGACTTCGGCTTTCCGGGAACTACTCTGTTTTCTCAGCTGAGTCGTAGCATTTGTCCCGCATTGAATGCACCCCTGTCCTGACTGGCAGGAGCTTGAGAAACTTTCCTAAGGCTCCATCACCGTCAAAGCAAGGAGCTGGGACAGGGCACCTTCCTCTGCTCACCCTCCTGGCACCTCCCGCCTCCACCGCAACTTTGCCGGTTACTCTTTCCCTTCTAAGGGGGAAATGAGTGTCGGATTCAGAGAAACTACATTAGGAAACGCTGCTGTTAACCCAGGTGAACCTAGGTCTCAAAGCCAGGGGGATACTATTTAGAATCGTGCCGGTTGACATCACTAATGCTGACCTACCAATACCGGCAATACCGATGAAGATGTGAATAAAGCCAAGCACGTCGGGTCTAGGTGGAGCTAGCCCACTTCTGGTCCGCAGGGTGCTGATAACTGCAGGGACCGGAGTGAACCCGAAGGGCTTGGGGCTCCCCGGTTCAGTCCCGGTCCTGCACCCCTCAGTGGGGCTGCCGCCCCGGGCAGGTCGCCCCTGTGCGCAGGAGGGACACAGACATCTCCTCCCCGAGGCTTAAGCGAACCTCGGTGCCCAGACGAGTGGACTGGATCACAGGCACTTCTGCCCTGGGGATCACGGAGGCACAGCCGATGCGAATCACAGGCAATAAGGACAGGTTCCCCGAAGCCAGAGGGAGGAGTTTGATCTTTCGATGCACGAGGAGGTGGGATTTGAAGGGGTTGTGCCACGCTCAGAAAAAGAAATACAGAAACAGTTCTTTCTCACCCAAATCTTCCACTCAAAATGTCACTCAAGAGGCCGAGAACAGAAACCAAGTCTCTCTGACCGGCTAAGAGGGTTTCTATCCGCCCCCGGGGGATGGTGACGGCCCGTCCAGAGATCTGCACGAACAGACTCCAAGCCAAGCCGCCAAATGCCCGGCGGCTCTTGGGGCGCAGCAGATTCCCGAGAAAGGACATCGCGCTCCAGCCGCCCCCGGGGCCTGGCCCGGCCTTCTGCCGGCCCCCGAGCGCGGCAGATAAGAAGCGTTGTATCTTATCTGAAGTGTCTCGTATTCATTCTGCAGCACGGACAGCACGGAGATAGCCCCGTGCTTGTAACTCATGCAGGGGATTCCTTTCAGCATTTCTTTGGAATCCCAAACTTTGAAGCATTTTCCCATATTATTATTTTCTCTCTTCAGTTTTTAGACTCAAATATACTCAGGCTTAGTAGGCTATGATTTAACCATGCCACATGGTTACCGAGACTGTAAATTTCTGACAATTTCTAAGGACAAGTCCTTTTCGGTGATAACGAAGCCCGCAGCCAAACACGCATCCCGAGCGTCATCGCTGCTTCTTATAAATCACCCCACGAGGAGCCAGAACTGACATTTCTTACGCACAACACAAACTTTCTCCGCAGAGAGTTATCTTAAACTCCAAAATGAAGCATCTGTAGACTCTGTGTGCTCTGGAGCCTTTGGAAATGCTCCATTTCTTCTGTGTTGCCTGCACAGAAAACTCCCAAGTCTGCCCCGGGTAAACATTTCTTACAAGAAATAAACGCCTTCAGAAGGGCCTTATCCTTCGTGTCAGGCAAGTTGTCTCAGCAAGCTGCTCTTAGGGCGAAATCTCCCTTTGGTCTCTCCCCAGGCTGCTGCAGTCCCGAGTGTCACGGGGCTTGCTTTATGCCGCTAAAAGAAAGACATTGCACTCAATAAAAGCTTTATTTTAATAAGATGCCTTCATCGGGTTGGAACGAAAGGCGTGGTTTTCTCGAGGGGGCCCAAAGCCTCGTCCTCGCTAACAGTGCAAGCGCGCGGGTGTGCTTCCAAGCGGGGCAGCAAGCCCACGAGCTGCCCTACGTTTTGTTCACCACGGCCCTCTGCTTCGCGGGGGGCGGAGGGGCCAAGGGCACTCGGGGCGTTTGGGCACGAGAAGCCTCCTGCCACCGACAGCTTCGCGGGAAAAGTGATGTTATTCTCGGTTCTTATCTGCTTATCGGGCTGGGTGTGGGTGGCAATGGCTCCCGAGGCGTGCCAGGCCCCGGGCTGGAAGGAGGCCGAGGAGGGAGCTCCCCTTGTGCTCCCTCCTTTCCTCCTCCACTGACCGACCGCTCTCTTGGGCAACGCAGTTTCTTTTTCCGGGAATCAAAGACCTGAAACCTCCCCACTGGCCCTCTCCGCTCACTCATCTCGAGATATTTTGTTTTAATCCCGTCGGTTTGGGGGGTGGGGTGGGGCAGAAGAATTACTGTCTTCCTTAGCACGTGAGTGAAAATCAAGCAATAGATATGACTAAAGGCTAATTAACTATTTTCGTGGTGTGAGGGAGGAGGCAAAGCTCTGGTAATTTGAGAACCTCCACTTACACATTTTCTTCGGATGTTTTGACCACCTCCCTTCTCTCAACTTTCCATAAGGGGTTTTAACGGAATAAATGTGCAAATAATAGCATTATGCTCGCCAGGCGACTGCTTGTTACCAATAGTCTGGTATTTCTTTCACCTGCAGTATCGAAACTGGTTCTCACACCTTCTCCGCAAAGGGAACGAAAACCAAGCATAACGACAGCAGTGACCTGATAGCGGTTCCAGCGCTAGGAGGGAAATTTGGAAAAGCGGTTCCCCGGCAATTCCCAGTGTGCTCGCGTGCTCATTGCTGCTGCGGCTTTCGAAAATGCCGCGCAGCAGCCACAGGCCGTGCATTCTGGGGAAGAGCACGTTGCTCCGGGGGAGGAAGGCGGCGCCGGGGCAGAGCGGGCCGAAGCGGAGTCCCCCGAGCCGGGCAACGCAGCGCAGCGCACCCCGCCCGCCGCCCGCTTCCCGGTTCCGCTGCAGCCGGCGGCTGCCGCTGCCCCGCCGAAGGCCGGGAGGCGGCTCGGCCCCCGGCCGGGGAGCCCGGCACCTGCCGCCCCGAAGTCTGCCCGGTCTTGCGCTGCCCGGGCTCCGCGAGCAGATGGCGAACGCCCGAGCGGGAGGGCGACGTCCCCTTGCTGGGAGGAAATTGGCTCCAGCCCCCCATGCTTTGAGCGCGACAACTGCCTCCACGGAGGGGAAGAAAACTCTTAGCCGAAGTGGTTTCACCTCTATGCACCCCCGTCTCAGCTCTACCTTCGCTTTCACACGCCCACCTCCTCAGTGGCTTCTTTTCCCGAAGAAGCCATGGCTTGGAGTGGCTTCCAGGGGTCTAAGGGCCACGTTTTATTCCTGCGTGGGTCGGGATCTCTGCTCTGTTCCAGGGCCAAAATTTTGATCCCGTCCCATACGATTATTCCGTCCACCAAAGAAGCTGTGTTACCCCCCCAGAACTGCCTCAGGTCTGAGCGGAGCTTAATAGCAAAACTTTTTCTTCCATAACTCCGCAGAAGTGAGCTATCTCGGAGCTAATTTTGCAGTTCCAGAAGACAGCTGTATTTTAATGACATAAAGCACCCCCTTAATGTAACAGTGGAGTGAGATCATGGTGCAAAATTATCAGACAATACGAAACAAATGGTTCAAGGATGAAATAAACATCTATCTTTTTTTTTTTTTTCATTTTACATCCATAAATCATCTATTGTAAGTATCGTTTAAATATAATACATTCAATTTAAGCGCGAACACAATACAATACAAAAAGCACTCCTGGAATCAAATTAGAAACCGATTTCTTTTGCAAGGGAAATTACGTGAGAGTTGCTTTGAATCTCTATAATCACTTTCTGTGTTTTCTGTTTTATGCAAAAAAAAAAAAAAAAAAAAAAAAAAAAAGAGGTATCCAGTTTCAGAGAACATTTGTATCGTAAAGTATTTTCTTCTTGAATATCTCAGCATCAGCAAAGTCTGCAGAATACATGAATAAGTACTAACACAGCACTGGAAATAGTTTCTCTTTATTCTTTTTATTGATGGACGAGAGACGTAGTTGACTAAATATCACGTCTTCTCTCGAGGGCATTTGAATATGGGAGGAGGGCTGATGCTATTGCCGTTTCTTAACAAATGTTACCCCAACGGGTTGCATCAGCCAAACCTCTGAACTAAAGAACGTGCTTATGCCTTTCAAAGTGAACTTTTGGCCTGATTAAAAAAAAAAAAGTGCCCTCCTGGTTCTTCCTAGAGGCTGAATAAGTAGTAAATATCCTGACAAGTAACAAATGACTGTGGGCGTCATATTGTTGGGTGCTCTTGTCTCCCTTCTGCTAACAAGTAAATAAATGTTGCCTACCTATGTTTCCATTCTCTGAGCAGTGAGTGGCCGGACTGAAGTCAGTGTCTTTCCACCTACTCATCACAGGGACTCTGCTAGAGGAAAGCTCCGGTCTTACAGCAGACTCAGGGAAAGATCAAACCAGGTCTGCCGTAGAACAGCAGAGCCTGAAGTTCCAGAACTGTTAAAGCCCTTAAAAACATATCATATTTCATATTTGCAGAAGTAAATGTGGAGATAGGTAGGTACACGGACAAATGGATGGATAAAAAGATGGGCAGGATGGTTACACCGACACAGACAATTTTTGATTCCATTCCTCCAATTGCTAAGCTGGGCATGGTTTCTCTCCAACAAAAGACATTCTGTCTTCGTAACTTTATTTCATCGTCTCATTAGAATACTGATCTAATTACATTGCTTTTACCCACACTGGCCCTAGACACAAAGCCTGCGTGGCAAAATTAAAGCACATGGAGCGTAGTTTTCGTAGGAGCTTTTAGCCCAGAAAACTCCAAACACGTTCAAGCCATTTTCTAGGTAAAGTTTCGCAATGAAGAAATGAGCATCCTTTTGTACTTGGGGCGGTGGAGGGGAGAAGTAGTCAGACCTCCCTACCTCTTTTTCCATCTTTCTTTCTCTCAGATGGAGTTAGGGTCGGGAAGAGCCTTTTTAAGTTGGGTAAGGGGAAGTTCTGTTGAAATTGGCTAATCGAATAACTCGGGGGCCTTTTTAGCACTTAAAACAGTCGCAGATAATGCTAATTCTTCCCCCAGCCCCCCTCCCCTTCTCCTCCACCTCCCCGCACCCCACTTCCCTCCTCTCTTTTAAAGTCTTTGAGGAAAGATTTTGACGCATTCGTGTTGTTATCAGATTGATGGGCAGGGTTTGATTGAAACCCCTTTGTTATGCAAATGTCAGGCCCTTGATGGATGAGCTCAGAGATGTGACAAACTTCAGGAGCCCCTCGCTCATTGGGCTGGGGGCGAGCCACGTGGCCGCCTCCCCCTGCCCCCACCCCGGCCCCGCCGAAGGCTCCGGGGTTCGAGGACCAGCGATGCATGGAAGGAAGTTTTACAGCTTTGACATACTATCTAAAGGTTGTAGGGCAGGCGGAATCCCCCCAAAACAGGCTGACCCTCCTCCATCAGTGGCAGATGGACAATACTAGGATGAACTCCTTCTTAGAGTATGCAATTTGTAACCGCGGGACGGGCGCCTACCACCACTTAGAGCAAAGCTCCCCGTCCTTCCCCTCGTGCTCAGGTAGCCCCGCCACTGACACTTTTCACGGAGACGGCCGCTTCGGCGCGGGGGGGAGCGCGGCCGCGGCCGCCCAGCTGCCGCAGCAGGGCCCCGGCTTCGCCCCCGCCCCGGCCGGCCGCGCCGTGCCCTTCGCGGGCGCTGCCCCGGCCGCCGGGTACCCGGCCGCGACCTGCGGCGCCGGCTACGGGCCGCCCCCGCTCTACCTCGGCGCGCAGGAGCCCGATGCCGGGTACCTGCCGGCGGCCGGGTACGCGGCCAGCGCGGGGCCGCACCTCGGCTCGATCGCGGAGGGCTACGGCGGGGCGGCGGCCGGGCACTATCCGCAGCACCTTTACGGGCAGGAGCAGCCCGGCTTCTTGGCCGGCCTCTACGGCAGCCTGTCGCCCGCTCCGAGCGAGGACAAAGACCCCGCGTGCCCCTCCGAGCCGTGTCCCAGAGCCAGCACCACGCAGACCTTCGACTGGATGAAAGTGAAGAGGAACCCGCCCAAGACAGGTGAGGCTGGGGCGCGCAGAGCGGGCGGGGAGGTGCCCCCGGGGCCGGGGCAGGCGGGGGGCAGCGCCGCGCCCCGGGGAGGGCTTCTCTGCCTTCCCGGGGTCTCTGCCTTCCCCGGGTCTCGTACTCAAGGCACCGGGGCTCACCCTTCGGAGGAACACGGGCCCGATTTTTTAAGCGCCAGTCCAGCGCTGCAGAAAAGCCAGCCAGAGATCTTGCAGACACACCTGATGGAGGGACCCTGAGCGCACTTTCCCGCAGGCCCATTGCAGTTCAAGCCCAGCTCGGAATAGGAAACGCTCCGGGTTTCCTGCTTCTTCCACAGACGTGTCTCCCATGTTCCCCATTGTTCAACTTCCTTCTCTAAAATATCCCTTAAATCGCAACCTTCCCTCCACCCCCACCACGATCAAGCGGGCCCTCCTGTCCCCTTCCACTCCTACCCACGCACGTTAAGTTTCAGGGCAGTTTGTGGGGAACTGGGGTGACGGGGTGCCAGCGAAGGGAGCAGCACTGCAGTCTCTCCCCTCAGGTTATAACCCCGCGCCGGGAAGCCAGGGGACAGCTCGGGCTCCGTGAGCAAGCACGACGCTCCGGGGGGCGGGGGCCAAACGCCCAGGAGAGGGGTAGCAGGGCAGAGCCCGCTCGATCGGGCTTCCGCAGGGCCTCCAGCCCCGGCCAGGGACTGCTTTGGCTGCTCCTGCCCTGTTGGCTTTTGCTCGTTACAGCCAAAGTGTCGGAGTACGGGCTGCTGGGCCAGCCCAACACCATCCGCACCAACTTCACCACCAAGCAGCTGACGGAGCTGGAGAAGGAGTTTCACTTTAACAAGTACCTCACCCGGGCCCGGAGGGTGGAGATCGCCGCTACCCTTGAGCTCAACGAAACCCAGGTCAAGATCTGGTTCCAGAACAGGCGGATGAAGCAGAAGAAGAGGGAAAAGGAGGGTCTCGCCCCAGCTGCTGCCTCCAGGTCAGCGAAGGAAGCGAGTGAAGCCTCGGATCAGTCCAACTGCACCTCACCTGAGGCCTCCCCCAGCTCGGTGTCCTCCTGAGCCGCCCCGCAGGGGCAGGGAAGCCTGCCCGGGGCGGCTGCTCCCGCAGCCCGAGTAGACACACACGCACGAACACGCACGTCCCGGCCGCACACACGCGCGGAGGCAAGGCCGTGCTTCCTTCCGAGCAGCTCCCTTGGCTCCAGCCGACTCCATGCGTGTGATACTAATTCTCCACCTTGCCTTTCTCTCTTAATTTATAGACCCTCCGTAAAACGTTGGACTCCAAAGGAGCAGCCGTGTCCTCGTTTGTCCTTAGCAATAGGCGTTTGTCTCAGGGACGTTTCTCCCTCTCCCTTCTCCCTCCCCAATAGGAACTGCACTTTCAACTACAGAAACTTTAAAACGAATTTAGTTCTCTCCCGTTTTAAAAGTGTGCACAAGGACTTTTGTCTGCAGGAATGCTACTTTTCATGCATTTTTCCTCCCCGAGAGATTGTAAAAAAAGTTTGGGGTGTTTTGTTTTGTTTCCCTTTTATTTACTCTGTGTATCTTGGAAAGAGATCTGATGGGCCCAAGACGCTAGAGGCCTGTGGGAAGACCCAAACAAACACAAAGCAAAAATGCAACTCCTTTGGTACCATTTTGCACTAGTGCTGCTTTACGTGGTTTTCTACGCGCTCCTGGTTATAGCTGGTACTAATCCTGGGAGAGGGAGGGCTGTTACTAATCCTGGGGGAGCGCTGTGTTATCAGCGTAAACGAGACGAGGCGAAGGCAGACCTCGGGGTACTTTGGACAAGGGTCACCGTGTTGCGAAGTGTGAGCGCACGGGAACACGGCTGCGGGGGACCGCGGAGCTTGGCATCCCCGGACGCTGATGCACTGCCTACTATTTATTCGTCTCGAAAGCCTGAAGTCCTGGAGCGAAGCTGCACGGCTCCTTGCACCCCCACCCTCTTAGGCTTATCGGAGTCCGATAAAAACATTATTTAACCATGGCTGATTGTTTCCCTTTCCCAGCAGAAACTTTACAGTAGGACGAACTGAAAACCGTGGCGACTTTTGTTAGAGTTTGTTTTAAAGAGAAAAAGGTCATCGTGAAAAACAAGTGGTTTCTTAATCGGAACCTTCTGTTTTGCCTCCACTCCCTTCCCCATGCTTTGTATGTCGAAATGAAACTACCTCAGTCCAATAAAGTTTACTTTTTCCACACTCACGTCCTCTCGGCCCTAAGCGAAATGGAAATTTCTCCCGTCCAGGGAAGTGCGCGACACGGGGAGGGGAGCCCGGGCTCAGAGGGAGGAGGAGGAAGGAAAAGGTCTCCGTCTGCTGCTAGAGTTCCCAGGCAAAGTACCCGATCCTGCTTCCTGCGGGGCCGTTCCAACACCCCTCCACCCCTGCCTTGGCACCGGCAGCTGCAGGGTCGGGACCGGCTTTCGCCTCTGCAACGGGGGAGTTCAAAGCAAGTCTCCCAGACGGGACCGGGTAGAAACGCGGAGTTACTTTACAATGTGAAGTGCAAGGGGGCCTGATGAGAACAGCAAATCCTCCTCCTCAGTGTAAGCACCCCGGCAAGGAAGAAGTTCTGCACTACCGAAGCAGCGACATTAACTGGAACCAAGTTGGGGTCTGGGGGTGGGGGAAAGGCGAGTTTCCCAATTATACGGAACGGTTCTGTAAGGTGGGCCCAACACAAAAACGGAACGAAGCGTCGATTTAGTTTTATCTCCTCAGCTTCCGAAGGCGGCCCCTGGAAGGAGAGCGGGTGTCTTCCAGAGCGTGAGCAGTGCACAAGGCCAGGGTGCGGAGAGCCCGGGACCCGTGGCCACGGCGGAGACAGAGCCCTTCCGCTGCCGGGGGGGCCGCGGGCCCGGATATAGCTCTGACCTTTTTACCTCGAAACGCCTCTGGGATTTCTAAACAAGTAAACAGAGAGGCTGCCAGGAGAAACTATTGTTCTAGCTTCGTCCCATTTGCAAACCTTTTTGGTGCGGACGTTCGCGGGGCCAGGAACCGCGAAGTACCTGCCCGGCCCCGCGGCTCCGACGGCGGGGAGCACCGCTCCTGCCCGGCACGGCAGCCCTGCCCCGTGCAACGTCCGCCGGGCTCGGGGGACGTCTCGAGCGTCCAGTTAGCTCGGGGACAACAAAAAGACGTGTGTGTGTGCGGGGGAAGGTGAAAAGAGGAGTTTGTTACACTAGCGGTTTGCAAAACATCAGGAGAGGGGAACGCGAATAACAAAGAGCAGGCAGCCAGACTGCGCAGCGCGCCGGGCATCAGCCAGCTGGGTTTAACCTGTTCGCTGGCCCAAGGCGATCGAAGGTTCTGCTGAATCTGCGTGATCTAAACTGTCTCACGGGAACGGGGGGTTGCGCTTCAGACAGCTCGTGGGTTTCCATCGGGGAGGTTTCCGTCCCCTGTTGTCTCTGGACCCGGGAAGGGGCCGCGGCTCCTCTCGCCCCCCGACGGGCAGCGCTGCGCCGGGCCGGGCCGGGCGGGGCCAGCGCTCGGGGAAGAGCCGGGCAAAGAAAAAGGCCGGGACAAGCCGGGGGTTACTGAAGCGCTGCTGTGTCGGGCACAACAAAGGCTCCCGGCTCCCATTTGAAACTCAAAGGGAGTCTCCGGAAGAGCCCGCAAAGACAGTGCCGATGCGCCCTTACATATGTAACCCCCCGGGCGCCCCCCTCACCCCGTCCCCTCGCTGCCAGCCGGGCTCCTCTCACCGCGCTCACCTCCCGCAGCCACAGACCTCTCCCCGCTCTCTCCCTCCAGGTTTCTCACGCTCCCTTTTGTCTCAGGAGCCCTAAACGCGCCTCTGTGAAGCAGGAGCCGGCTGAACGGCCCCGCAGGACATCTGCGGCAGGGGGTCCCGCGGCCGGTACCGGACGCTCCCGCAGGGCAGCGAGGGCCACGCGTGTCGGCCCCACGCCCCGGGAGGCGGGGGCAGGTGCGGCCCGCACCTTCCCCCGCAGCCGTCGGCCCGGGCTGCACGGGCAGAGCTGCCTGCAGAACTCTGCCGGGTTCAGCCCTACCACCACCGCTGGATTATATGGCAAACACGAGGCCTGCACGCACTCCTTTATTTTATATAAATGATACACAACGACGGGGCTATTCCCTTGTCTCCACGTGCATCTGTCCGTGATTCCCTAGCATTGCATTTTTTTATGGGCAGGAAAATTATCCAAGACCCCTCTACGCTCACAGGCAAAGCCGCCTCCTAATGGAGATAAATGCCTTTAATATCCCAGAGGAAGGGGAAAATCCCGGTTAAAGAGAAGCAACCCTGTACATTTTTAATGGCGGTCGCTGTGCTGGAGCTGTTGTCCCCCTGCGGGAGGAGGGGACGGGGAAGAGACGCCCTCGGCACTCCCGGTGATCTGGCCTGGCACGGCAGACACTTCAGGGCCATCTGTTCCTTACCCCTCGGTGTGAAATGTTTCTCCTAAGGCATTTGTTCTCACAACGTGAGGCCCTTTTGATCTCAGAAAAGGACATTCTATTAAATAATAATAGTAATAATACCTGAAGACTTCCTTACTTTCAACTCCACTTTGCTGGCTTTACACTTAAGGTGTGAAGCTTTCCCGGGGGTCTCTGTCCGGGGGACAAAACCTTCCCTCTGTGATTGTACTCTGGCTATTGCTGACCCCTGAAAGTCTTTGATGCCTTGAAGTGATGGGCAACAGGGGTCGAAGCCTTCCGGGTTTCTCCAAATTTGTTTCACACAACAAAATCAATAAGGAGCTACCCCCTCCCCGGATCTCAGAAAACGAGAGCAGGGTGAGGAAAAGATGTTTTTGTCACACTGTGGGTGAGTCAGAACCAAAACACTGCTCGATACGTCTTCTGAGAGCAACACCAAAGCAGCAAGTTGTCCACACACCTGCCAGCATGGTAACATGGCCAAGGGAGCCGTTACACCCTAGATCACGGAAACCGAGAGGGATTTTCATGTCTGATACATTTTCTCACCGTTTTTGATGCAAGCACATTTTTAGGTGTCACCAAAACCCGCGGAGAACTGGGAAGGAGACGCACAGCCCTGGGAAGTGCTGGCTGAATGCAGCTGCCCTAGCTCCCTGCTGGGCAAGGGGCTTGCCCCCGGGCATGTCCCCTGCCACACAGCCCCAGCAGCACCACTGGGTTCAATCGTGGGAGCTGGGCATACGTCAGTTTATCTGGATTGTGTATGTTTACAGACAGTGTATGTCATTTGCCTCCATATCAAATATACAGCATATTTATTTTTGAGGGTTCAGTCTGCATAGGTCATCTGGACTTAAACTGGGGGACCTCTGATCTGTTGCTTCATGTCGGACCCCAGCTGTAAACCCTCCCACACGCTCTGCTCATTACACTAAAAGGGCCACTCCATGGTGCAGCCCCCTTTCTTCTTTCTTTTCCCCTCTGCCCCCCAGCTATTATTTTCCACCAACACAGATATTTCAGTGCCAATCAGCTTCAGGGCTGCATTACCCTCTTAGGCAGGTGAAATGAGGTCTGGGGCAAAGGGCTGGGGTGGAAGAAACAATTGCAGAAGTAAGTGTACAGAATGTTTCCTTGCTCTTCAGAGGGCTCACCTATCCTTTCAGTTTACACTGGTCTGACAGCTCCATTTCAATCCCAGCCTTCACATGGATTTGTTCAATATTTACTCAGGCTGATGGGTTTGCTCAGAACTTGCCTCTGTCAGCCTTGCTCTGTCGGGTTCCCTTCCCCTCGGGCCCAGGTTCACACAAAGTTCAGCCTGAAATGAATTCACCCAAAGATGGGCCCAGCTTGGCCTGAGGACCAGAGATGGGGTCAAGCCTGGGTCTCTGTGTCCCAGCCAGCCCTTGCGAAGGCAGTGCTCAGCACTCCCAGCCAGGAGGCTGCTTTGAAAAATTATTTGGGGTTAAAAAAGAAAAAGCTCCAGGCCAGGGAGGACACACCAAGAAAGGCAGGAGCTGCTTTTCAGTGCAGAGAGCACAGGTCAGCCCTTCCAGGAGGGTGGATAGTTCACGGACATTAACTCTTACCAGGGGGCCTGTGTGACAGGGAAGGTACAATCCTGCAAATGCAGTACAACCATGAAAACTGCCACAGGGAGAAAGTTGCCTATATATGTGCATGTATACATATATACAAGTATATGCACTCCCTATTTTATAAACATACACATTGCTTTCATTTAAGTACAAACCACATATATATTATATAAATCTATTATATATATATATATGAGTAAACCTGGTGGCAAGGGATTCAATCTTAAAATGAAGAGCAAATCAAACTGATGCAAAATAGAAAAGAGCGTATCTGGAGAACAGCAACTGTAAGGCCCCAGAGACATGATCTGGGAAAGGCATGAAGCTGTTTGTGAATTCTCAGAAGGGTGCTTTGGGACCAAGCCTGGGAGAGGAACCTGGCACTTACGGGGCCAGGTTTGGTGAGGGGACACTCACTGCTCTGGGGCAGGGTGAGAGCCGGCGCTTCGCAGCACTGAGCCTGCCCTGAGATGTACCAGGTCGGGCCACTTTCAGAGGCAGGGAAATTCATCTGGGTTGCAAAAAGGGCTTATAGCAAAACCTGCATGAGTTCCCATTAAGAAGATAGAACAGCAAGGTAAATCCAAAGCATCTCCAAATGAAATACCAACTGGGTTGATATCCAGGGCAGCACCGTGGTGGACCCTGTGAGGTGACGGAAGGAACACGAAGTGACTGGGGACAGTCCCAGAGACTCAAGACATCACAGGAACACGGCAGGATCCGAACCTGCCCCTGTCTGGAGCACTGGGTGTCTCTGGGCACCTGCCAGCTGCCTGAAGGATTGGCAAAAAGCCCCATGTGAGTCTCCAGAGGGTCAGACAGTGGGGTAGGAGCCCCTTCCATGGAGCTGAGAGGTCCCAGCAAGGGCAGCACTTGTCCTCAGAGACTACCTGTACACTGGGGCATTCACAGATGTGACTTAGGGTAAGAGAGACAGAAACCTTTCTGCCTCATCTCTTTTCCTGCCCCACACTCTGAACAGATGCTAGAGACAGGAACTAAATTCTCCAACAGCACCATTTTAGGCTTTGCTCATTACGAATGTAATGATTACTTATAAATTCACCTGTATGGAGAATTGAGATGAGTTCCATGAGACGAGCTCCATGAGACGAGTTCTTCCCACGTCAGTTCTTAGATGGAGGCATTAAAAACTGAAAACTAGAAAGAGAAAGCACA